ATGGGAATAAGGACGCGGACGGCGAGAGTGTTCCGACTTCTCCGGGTTCCGCCGGGATGCAGGACTTGCTAGCCCACCGGCTCCGACACGGACTACACTCTCCGGGGTGCTCCGCGGCAGCTACAGCCCCTGCGCATGCGCGCCGCGGAGCCAGCTGGGCTCGGAGGGAGGGGGCGGGGCGGGCTCCGGGGGGAGGAGGCGGAAGGTCGCTGTCCCGGAGCTGATGCGCGCTGTGTGCGCCGGGACGCCCGGGCGTGCGCTCTGCAGCGCGGAAATAGTCTCTTGAAGTAGTGTCTACCTTGGATGCCTGGGTTCCAGGGCCTGCTGTTGCGGCGCTCCACGAATCATCCAGCTGAAGGAGAAGCCCCGTGGAACTGGCTGTTAGGGTAACGTGTTTCCCCAGCCCCCACCCCATCAGCCCCACTTTCACCAGCTCCCAGACTCTAGGGTACCCATCATTCTAGCCTTCTTCCTCGCTGGAGGGGCTCAGTCCCGCAGGGAAGGTCTCCGGGCTGCGTGTGGGAGACTCCTTAGAGACCCACACCAGCCTTCGCCGTTCCAGGTCCCGAACACCCAGGAAAAGTACCCCCGACCTCGGGCAGGCCTTCTCAGAGATTGTCGGTCAGAAAGTGCTTTCCCTCCCCTCCTGCCCTGAGTCGGTGCGACTGGTTTCCTATCGTGTGCCCTTAAGATCCAATCCTTCCAATACGGCCTTTGCTGCAGAAATCGAGCACTTTATTTGCTCAATTGAGAAATTATTGTATACTCCATATGTACAGAATAAAATCGAGGGAGATAACCTGTTATGTGTAATTTACTAAATTACGTTGAGTTGGAGTTCAAACCATTCAGTCCTTAATTTTTTAATTAGGATTAGTCAGTTGTTTTCTGGATTGTTTAGAGTGTGTAAAATACTACTCCCTTTGGAAGAAGATTATAATCCTTAGAATGCTTATGTAGCAGTCTTTAGGTCACAGTTCTTCCGGGTTTTGTATACGTGGGGATGTTAATTTTTAAGGAGTTGGAGGTTGGAATGCGTAGAGCAGTTCAGATCTCGATGTCATTGAATAGTGGTCTCCCTTTGTTAATTCAACGAGTATTTATTGAGTTCTGCCCTAGGCACTGGGGATGGATACCAACGATGAAATACAGACAAAGCTCTCAGCTTTTGGGAGCTTACATTTTGGAGAGAGAGAGGCAATAGGTGAGATGCCTAGTTTGTCAGGAAGCGGTAATCCTAAAGGGAATAATAAAGAAAAGGAGGATGAAGGGTGTGGGTAGAAATAGGGAATCGCAGTTTTACTGGAGCCTCCTTGAGGCTTCTCTGGGAAGGACTCATTGGAGAGGTAATTTTAGAGTAAAGAGCTGAAGGAAATGAGAGAACTAGTCCTGTGACTCTTCAGGGGAGAGGGGCGGAAAGAAAGTGCGAAGGCCCCGAGGAAGCCGGCTCAGTGTGTTCAAAGAGCAGCTTGGGAGGCTAGTAAAAGTGAGGTGGTAGAAGAATTGTAGGAGATGAAGTCAGACGAGAAAGAGCAGCGCGGGGTGGGGGTGGGGGGAGCGCAGATGTTGTAGGACCTTGTAGGCTGTTTTGAAAATTTCATTCCCTGAGAATGAAAAAACTCAGGGAGATGGGAAACTTGGAGAGTTTTGTCAGAGAGACACCATGATCTGATGTTTCAAAAAAAAAATTGTGATAAAATATATGTAACAAAATTTGCCAATTTAGTCATTTATAAGTGTACAATTCAGTGACATTACACTATGTTTTATAACTGTCACCATTATTTCAAAAACTTTCATCACCTGAAACAAACTATAATAATCAGCTAATTAAGCAGTAACTCCCTTTTGACCCCTCTGTCCAGCCCTTGGTAACCTCTAGTATACTCTCTGTGAATTTGCTTATTCTAGATATTACATGTAAGTGGAATCATATAATATTTGTACTTTTGTATATGGCTTATTTCACTCAGCATAATGCCTTCAAGGTTCATATTATAGCACGTTTCAGACCTTAATTTCTTTTTATGGCTGAAAAACATTTCATTATGCATTTATACTACATTTTGTTTATGTATTGGTTGATAGACACTTGGATTTTTTTCCACTTTTGACTATTGTGAATAATAACTGCAGTGAACTTTGGCTTACAAGTATCTGGTTGAGTCCCCGCTGCAAATTCCTTGGATATATACCTATAAGTGGACTATATGGATCATATGATGATTCTGATTTAGCTTTTTGAGGAACTGCCTAACTGTTTTCCACAGTGGCAGCACTATTTTACAATCAGTCTGCAATGTTAGAAGGGTTCCAATTTCTCCATATCCTCTCCAAAACTTCTTCTCTTTTCCTTTCTTTTGCTTTTAGCCATCCTGGGTGGTTCTGTGAAGTGGTATCTTACTGTGAAGTGGTATCTTACTGTGGTTTTTCGTTTGCATTTCCTTAATGATAGTGATGTTGAGCATCTTTTCATGTGCTTTTTGGCCTTTGGTGTATCTTCTTTGGAGAAATGTCTGTTTAAGTCCTTTGCGTGTTTTTAAGTTGAGTTGTTCTTCTTTTTGTTGTTAAGTTGCAGGAAAATCTTTATGTAATCTCTTTATTAAACACATTTCAGATATATGATTTGTAGGTATTTTCTCTCATTCTGTGGCTTGTCTTTTTACTTTTGGGTTTATTGTTCTTTGATTTATAAAAGTTTTAAATTTTGATAAAGTTCAATTTACCAATGTTTTTCTTTTGTTGCATGGGCTTTGGGTATCATATCTAAGAATTTGTTCCCCAATTCAAAATTGTAAAAATTTGGTACTGTGTTTTCTTCTAAGAGTTTTATAGTTTTAGCTCTTGTACTTAAGTCAATATGTTTTGTTTTTTTGATATATGAAAATGCAGGGTCTTTTTTATTAAGGTATCACTGAGTACAATCTTATGAAGGGTTCACATGAGCAACATTGCAGTCTCAACATTCAATATGTGGTTTCAACCCATATTATCAAGGCCCCCTGACAACCTATTGCAATTACTAAACATCAGCATAGTAAGATACTGTAGAGTCATTACTTGTTTTCTCCATGGTATACTGCGTTCCCGTGACTACCTATATTATGTTTGCTAATTATAATGCCCCTTAATGCCCAACCCAGCCTCCCCAACCCTTCCCCATTGGTAACCGGTAGTCCCTTCTTGGAGTCTGTGAGTCTGCTGCTATTTTATTCCTTCACTTTTGCTTTTTTGTTCTACTCTACAAATGAGTGAAATCATTTGGTACTTGTCTTTCTTCACCTGGCTTATTTCGCTGAGTTCAATATCCTCTAGCTCCATCCATGTTGCGAATTGTAGGATTTATTTTCTTCTTATGGCTGAACAATATTCCATTGTGTAGATGTACCACATCTTCTTTATCCACTCACCTACTGATGGACATATAGGTTGCTCCCATATCTTGGATATTGTAAATAATCCTGTGATAAACATAGAGGTGCGCATGTCTTTTTGAATCAGGGATCTTGTTTTCTTCGGGTAAATTCCTAGGAGTGAAATTCCTGGGTCAAATGGTATTTCTATTTTGAGTTTTTTGATGAACCTCCATATTGCTTTCCACAATGGCTGAACTAATTTACATTCCCACCAGCAGTGTAGGAGGGTTCCCCTTTCTCCACATCCTCGCCAACATCTGTTGTTGTTGTTTATCTTTTGGATGGTGGCCATCCTAACTTGTGGGAGGTGATAGCTCATTGTGGTTTAATTTGCATTTCCCTGATGATTAGCGATGTGGAGCATCTTTTCATGTGCCTGTTGGCCGTCAGAATTTCTTCTTTGGAGAAGTGTCTGTTCAGATCCTCTGCCCATTTTCTAATTGGATTATTTGCTTTTTGTTCGTTGAGGTGTGTGAGCTCTTTATATATTTTGGATGTCAACCCTTTATCGGATCTGTCATTTATGAATATATTCTCCCATACTGTAGGGTACCTTTTTGTTCTACTGATGGTCTCCTTTGCTGTACAGAAGCTTTTTAGTTTGATATAGTCCCACTGCTTCATTTTTGCTTTTGTTTCCCTTGCCTGGGGAGATAGGGAGTTCATGAAGAAGTTGCTGATGTTTATATTCAAGAGAGTTTTGCCTGTTTTCTTCCAAGAGTTTTATGGTTTTATGACTCACATTCAGGTCTTTGATCCATTTTGACTTTCCTTTTGTGTATGGAGTTAGGCAGTAATCCAGTGTCATTCTCTTCCATGTAGCTGTCCAGTTTTGCCAACACCCACTGTTGAAGAGGCTGTCATTTCCCCATTGTATATCCATGGCTCCTTTATCATATATAAATTGACCATATGCTTGGGTTAATAATATCTGGACTCTTTATTCTGTTCTAGTACCAAATTGTCTCGATTACTGTGGCTTTGTAGTAGAGCTTGAAGTTGGGAAGTGAGATCCCCCCTGCTTTATTCTTTCTTCTCAGGATTGTTTTGGCTATTTGGGATCTTTTGTGGTTCCATATGAATTTTAGAATTATTTGTTCGAGTTTGTTGAAGAAAGCTGTTGGTATTTTGATAGGGATTGCATTAAATCTGTAGATTCATTTAGGCAAGATGGCTATTATGACAATATTAATTCTTTCTACCCAAGAGCATGGGGTGAATTTCCATATATTAGTGTCCTCTTTAATTTCTCTTAAGAGTGTCTTGTAGTTTTCAGGGTATAGGTCTTTCACTTCCTTGGTTAGGTTTATTCCTAGGTATTTTATTCCTTTTGATGCAATTGTGAATGGAATTGTTTTCCTAATTTCTCTTTCTGCTAGTTCATCATTAGTATATAGGAATGCAACAGATTTCTGTGTATTAATTTTGTATCCTGCAACTTTGCTGAATTCAGATAGTAGTTCTAGTAGTTTTCGAGTGGATTTTTTAGGGTTTTCTCTGTACAATATCATATCATCTGCAAACAGTGACAGTTTGTCTTCTTCCTTACCAATCTGGATGCCTTTTATTTCTTTGTGTTGTCTGATTGCGTGGCTAGGACCTCCAGTACTATGTTGAATAAAAGCGGGGACAGTGGGTATCCTTGTCTTGTTCCCGATCTTAGGGGAAAAGCTTTCAGCTTCTTGCTGTTCAGTATGATGTTGGCTGTGGGTTTGTCATATATGGCCTTTATTATGTTGAGGTACTTGCCCTCTATATCCATTTTGTTGAGAATTTTTATCATGAATGGATGTTGTATTTTGTCGAATGCTTTTTCAGCATCTATGGGGATGAATATGTGCCTATTTCTATCTGTCTTGAAATATGATAGAGTTAAGTAGGAGGAGAAAGTATGAAATACTTATCTTAGAAGGGGAGGATAGCAAATAGTGAAAAGTTGTAGAACTGCTGGGAAGACTAAAGGTGCACTT